CTCCGGGGGCTCCCCGCCTAACCGGCATCGGCACCGCCACCGCCACCCGAGAGCGAGCGCGGTGGCCGGGGCCGGCGGTTCTGGTGGCTAGCGTCGCTCGGTCGTTTGTCCCTCCAGAATGACCCGTGCCGTGAACGGCCACGGATGCAACGTTGGCGTGGAACTGAACCGACGCCTTCGAAGGCGAGCGGGAACCGGTGGCAATGTCCGAGCTCTCGGCCGCGGCCTTCTCCCATAGCTTTCTAGCACTCACCGGGGGAAACCGCCCCCCCCGCTGCCTAATGTACTAGCTGCTTTTCACCGACTTCTCAGAGCAACCCCAGCTGCAATTTGAGAATCAGACCATTATTTCTTATTGAGGACAAGTGCCTTTTCTAGAAGATCTCGCGCTGCACATGTGTGCCCTCAGTTTGCTGTAATACTTCAACAGCTGATGTAGGTGCAAAAACCCAGCCCCGCCATCTGCATGTTTGCATAGCTGGAGCTCTGCATGCTGAAATAAACACATGTTTGTGATCCTGCGAAAGGGTAAACATTCCCCGCGCCACCGCTCGGCTTCCAGCGACAGGCAAGGGCATCCCGTGCTAGAGTCACGCATACATCAAGTGCAGCGTTGGGGTGACAATTTCAATATGCAGGCTAAAAACGTAGTCCCTGTCCCAGCTGTAGCTGCCTTTTCCACACATGTATTACGACTAGTGAATGTCTCCGTAAATACTGTCCCTGAATGCACGGGACTGATTTCCAGTTTCTGTGGAAACTGTAACCAGAACTGTCTGACTTCTGTGTATTGACGCTCACAGTTCTTAAACATCTCTTTCAAAGGTGTATTTTTCCCTCATTTTTACATTTCATTACTAGTTTATCTGCATGCTGAAGTGAGCTGGAATATGAGCAACAGGAAGCAAAGACAGTAGTCTCTTGCTCCATATAGAAACACAGCCAGTCCTGAGGCATTTAAGATATATTCCGTAAGCTCATGGTACCCACTGTGTATTCTGCAATGTGCCTAGAAGGAACGCCCAAGGAAAACATATAAACGTGACACTTAGTAAATACAGTTAAAATCACCATGAAGAAGGTCCAGATAAAAATACAAAAAGTAAAGACAAATTTGCACTCAGATGCAGATACTACCATCTATGTTCACGTAAGCAGTTCTGACTCACAGAGGTGCTTTTGGACCATTCAGCAAGACTATTTTTGTGTGTCAGGACTACTGCAACAAGAAAAGGGTAAGGCAAGGGAGTCTTTAATTTGTAGGATGCCAATTCCCCTTTCTCTAAAGTCGTTCACACTTACAGCCTGTGAAATGCAGTTGAATGATGGCAAGAAAAACACTTCTCATCAGGCCTCCCATTCTGCACCGAATTTAATTTTGTGTTCTTTTTTAGATGTCTTCCAAGAGAATCTAAAATAAAACTGCACTGAGGCACTTTCTCTAACATGACAATAGGAGGAAAATTGCATCGAGCCCTTCTGGGAGGAGGCAGGGGTCGAGCGTTTGTGGGGCTACAGCTGTGACATATGACAGCACACCAGTTTGGGCCATGGAAATGGGTGGGCTACAGTCTACGCAACATCCCTTCCTTTTGTCACCCTGCCTCCATTTACAGTTGATTCTGCTTGTTTTCTGCACAATTAAAAACTCTGTGAGCAAACACTTAAAAAATACTGCCATCGCACGGAATTCCACTGCATTAAATAAAAGCAAAAGCAGCGTGAGGAGAGAAAGAGTGAATTGGTCGCAAGGAGTGGGTTGGGAGTATCAAGATCCAGCCTGTGAATTATGTTTGAGATCAGCCAGAAATTCATCGGGGGTGGGGGAGGCAGTTCTTGGGGTTGTTGGAAATCTGCAGTTAGCAGTTCTTTTCATGGAGTGCAGCAGGCTTTGGATTTTGAGCAGGCAAAGTTACAGGCTGCTGTGACTTTATGCCTCCGTTTACAGTACTAAGGCCAAAGCTGTAAACAGCATTAGCCAACATTTTAATTTCATCCTTATTCAGGAAATCCACTTGTCACTGAAAAAGCCAGTTGCTTTCACTCTCACGGCCACAAAAGCCATTCCCTGTGGGTAGACGTTGAAAAATCTACTTCTCATAGGCCCAGCTGAGACAGGTTTAGGGTGGCCTATAGTGTATTCGTATTAGGAAACATTAATTAAAAAATGGGATAACTGAATAAATAAGCCTCCAGATTCTGCTGGGTAGTTATACTAAACCGCAAGTATAATGCAAAAATGCTGTGAAGGGAAACAAAGCAACTTAAAGGTCTACTGGCAAATTTGAAAATACGCCCAAATAATGAAGCTGAACAATATGCTGTACTTGGTGAATCCCCCACCCCGCTGTGAGATATAGGAGCTGCTCAGGTTTCCCAGAGGAAATAGTTAAACAGAAACATAAAGCTTTAGGAGAAAGATGGGAGAAAAAACCAAAGTGAACAACACTAACAAATTACCTAAATAATAAAATGCACTTGCCAGTCATTTTTCTTACCTGTTCCGACATCAGGATTTGGCGCAGTTCCTTCTTGAGATCAATAAACCGATCGTGATAGATGGCCATGGACCAAGGTTCCCTGAAGTAGCTGGTTAAAAAAGAAGAAATTTAGTTATCTTGTGAACCTCTCATTAACCACTAATAAAGTATTTACCTGCTTTTTTGCCTTTATAAATTACAGTTCTGGACCCATCATGATCATTTGTTCATAAAATGCCTCCCGTAACAGCATGGTCAATCAATTCTTTTAATGGATGTTCCTGATGTACAGCCAGCTTCAGTAATTACATTTAAAGTGGCTTAATTCAGAGCTGTGGCAAGACCCAGTGAAGAATCCTGATTTTATCAGAATTTAAAAGCCTGAAGACCTGTAAAGAACGGTGTCTCCATTATCTGTCCTCATTTGAGAAAAGCAGATTGCAGGATTAACTGAACTGCTGCATAAACAAATTAAATTTGTGTAGACAATGACACAAATGTTGTTCATCATTAAGGTTTCTGGATTAATAAAGGCCAGAAAAACAGGCCACCACAGTGTTGCAATATGTTCTTTGCACTAGTACGCTTGAAGCTAAATGGAACCTATTCTAGGAGGAAGCTCTTGTAACTTTTTCTTTCAGTGACAGCATTCATGACAGCATTCTTCTGTGAAAAAGGAGTAAAAAGATGAAGAGGACGTGACTCGATGTAGAACCTCAAGGCTGTAAATATAACTGGAGGCAGCTAGATTACAAAGCTGTGATTTATTTCTCCTTCCTCTATAATGAAAAATAATTTTTACGGCTTCAGTGAGATGCTCTGTGTGTAATTCTTGCTAATGCTAACTGGAGTCAGGAGGCGCACCGTCTCCATCCCAGTAATGACTGAACAGATGTCAGCAAGAGCACAGGGGCACCCAGGAAGTTTTAAGATGGGTGCATTTGTGTGGCTGCGACCAACGTTCTCATCTTTGGAATGGCAGCAGCATGCTTGGTGCTGCTGTCAGGAATACATGTATGCTATCACTTGATTCAGTTGTGTGGTCTTTAAATGAACACCTGGACAAAGCAACTTAAAAGGCACTACACAAGTTTAATAATTCTACAGAAAACTAATGTGCAGTTTCCTTTTTGCAGATTTTTTTTTTTTCATTAATGTCAAATGGCGGGATTTCCCTTCTCCCACTCTTTGAATGAAACTTCAGCTCTCACTAACACCCTGCACAATTAGTGACACTTTGTGCACCTGGCAGAACTTTGCTGGGTTTTTTTTACATACTTATCCCATCATAAGCTCTCTTCCCCCTTCCCACTGTGCCCCTTCATCTGCGTTTCTCTTTGTATCGCAGGCTGGCTGGGGCTGCCTCTCCTAGATTTGCACAGTGTCCAGCACAGCGGGGCGCTCTCCGATAGATGTTTTCACAGTATAAATATTTATTGACACTACTACAAATACTGTGTTCTTGCTACGGTAAGTGCTGCCCAGCCTTGGAGTCTCTGGTAGCACGTTACCATGACTGATGCTACCCATTCATTTGGATATGAGATGTTAGAAAACATCAGCTCAGCTTTAAGTATCTTTAAGTGATTATATACCTACAGCACGTACAGAAAGCTAGAGAAGAACAGGATATCCCGTAAATATTTAAAAAAACTTCAGTTTCAGAAGAAAACCCCCACCCAACACAAACCTTTAACTCAATGCTGATATTAGATAGCAAAGCAGGGAAAAAGGGGGTGTTATACAAGAACACATTAAGATAATTAAAGATTCTCTGTTTTTACTGATGTGCCCTGCTAAAAGCCATGTTCCACTGGCCAAACATTTTGTTTTCAAGCTGGCATCTTAATTTTAATTCTAACCCTGATAAGGGGATTTCATCCCTTGATTGAGGCACATCTTCCAACTGCCTTACCTTGGTTAAGTTGTTCACCTACCTCACTGAGATGTTAAGTGATGTTTATAAAATGTTTCAGGGACGCTACATATTACTGCTACTGTTGCCAACTCAGTCCATAACTGCGTTTTTAACTGTTCCCGTCAATATTCACAGATTTGGAGCTCAAAACCTGCGATGTGTCACCCAGTTCGCAATACTTGATGCAAATAAAATGCCCTTTATGGGGAATGGAGAATGTCTTGTCTGTATTTGCTAGATAAGCTGCCAAAAGGAGCTACCAGTGAACAACATTTACGCCCAGATTCCCTTTACTTCCCTTCACCTGAAGAAATGTAACCACTAAAGGCAATTTAAAGATCTACTTTACAGAAACAATTCACTTTCTTTGCTGGCTCTGTGTTTTTATCTATTTATCTTTTCAGTTAGAATCACCTTTCTGAAGGGGCACATGGTGTTTCTGAGAAAGCAGATCTACATATGGCTGCTAAAGGGAAGTTTAATAATGAAAAAACCCATTTGAAGCCAAACCAACAAGTTGACTTTCTGAGGCTCATTCTGAATTTTATTACCACTTCAGCAGCAGTCCCTCAGGGCAAGCTGTAGAAGGCTTGAAAGTATAATGCTCTTCAGTATACAAGATGAAGCTGGCATGCTACCAACAGAGGCTCAAAGGCTCCTCAACTATCATGAGAACGGCATCTGCCACATGTGTTTGCACCATTTAGTCTTTCATAACCTGCCAGACTGATCAGGCTAAATATGTACAAGATGACAATGTTTGCCAGGAGCATAACGGGTTTTCAAACTTGGTCACTTCCTAATGGGGATCCCCTGCTGGCAGACTTTTATATCGACAGAAGCTATCATGGGAAGGCATTTGTAACGAGATGGGATGAAATGGTCTCCTTTTGAAGACAATAAGCGACATCCTTTTTGTTGCTAGGAAGCTGGTCTCGCCTTTCATTGACAAACAATATTTAAAGTCTGTTCTGCCTCATTTGTGATGTGTAGCCTACATTAGATGAAAGGGAAGAAGGAGGAAAATATTTAGTGGCGTCCTGTACAAAAGACAGGGAATCTTTCCCTTTTCAAGAGATACAGCATTAAATAAAATAGACAAAGTTGGCCGCTGCTAGCAAGCAAAAATGGAGTATGCATGCACATGGCTTTCCATCTGAGAGCTATCTGTATTTATTCTCCATTTCATTTGCAACTACACACCACTTTAGGAGAACAAGGCTTCTGCCTCCGTGAAAGCTAATTCTGAAGCTGCCGTACGTCTGTGGTGTGTCCTGGCACTCTAAAGCAGAAGCAGCGAGGACCTGACACTGACCTCTGGCAGTGTTTCTGCCATCTAAGTCAGGTCTAACAACATGAGATATATCACTGACAGCGAGATGTTAAGGCCAGAAAATCTTAAAAATGGAATGAAAAACCTTCAGAGTAACATACTCTGTTTGTACAACAACAAAACAAAAAGCAAGATATAAAGTTAGAAAAAATCATCAATAACTGAAATTTTTATAAATAATTTTAAATCCCATGACAAGAAAGTAATGGTGGAAGGGTGAAGACCAGCTCTGTAGAGTGGGCTTATCCACTCTGGTAGACCTAACCTTTTATCATTCACAAGCTTGGCATAACTGTACTACTCATACAGGTCAGTTTTATCACACCACTGCAATGTTTTCCAGACTTCTGTACGTTGGGCAGAAAACGTGAAAATGAAGCAAAGCGAGGCCCAAATAATTTCCACTTATATTATTAAAGATGGGCTTCTGAGGACCATTGTTGATTTTGTCTTTATGCATTTCATATTGGGTGCTTTTCTTGGAAAATCTCAGCTGAAATCCTCTCCCACAAAAAAAAAAAAAAAATCACCAGTCGAAAGAGAAACTGAAAGCAGTGATATGAATGTATCAAACATGGCAAAAAAAAACCAGAAACCAATTTTTAAAAAAGGTTTGATTTTCTCATTCCTCTTAATGTGAAAGTAAATCTCATTATTACAGCCTGAAAAAAATGGCATTTTCTTTTTAATACGAGGACTGTAATATGTTTTTAATTACTTTCATTCCTTTTCTTGCTGCTTCCATGAGCCTGATGACAGCAGAGATAACCGGTGCCACAGTGGACAGGCCTGTAGGCACACCTTATGCAGTGGGAATGCAGAGCCCACGGCACATTAAACTACATGGAATAATCCCTCCCTGCAGGTGAGCTTATCAAATTACCAGAGCGCGTGTGCACACCGAGACCGAGCACAGAATCCAGTTAAGGGAATTTAAACTGCAGCCCTAAGCAGCCGGCACTCGCTGCTGCCTTGCCTGTGGTCCCGGTGACTTCTCTGCTGTGAGACCAGGACAAGGTGGGGGATTTTCAGAAGCTTGAAGGGCAGGTGGGTACCCGTTCCTTGTGACGATGGCTTTGAAAAATCCCTCCACAGACTACTGGCATGTTATTAACTACAGATTTTGAGGATGCTCTGTCTGTCAGTGTTCTTTTGCTACTCAAAGCTGTTATGGAAACAATAACAAAACCAAATTCAATTCCTTGCATCCCTGCTACCCCCACTCTTTGACCGACACACATAAACTCAGAGGAAACAACTAAGTTCAGGAACTGGGACAATCTATGAAGTGGTTTGAATCTGTTTGCAACTTTTGTTAAATGTCTCTAAATGAATGTTAATACAGATCTGTCGAAATCATGTTCATTTCTTCACAAAGCGGTCTACAATTCACTAGTGACCTGCCTTATGTCCCATTAAACTCAGTGGGACTCTGGTCACCAGACTTGTATCTTCCATCATCCAGCACTGTACGCATATGCAGAGCGGCACACATTTTTTTAGTCCACAATACAAGCCAGAGTCATTGATAAACTTAATCTCCTGTTAATCTGTAAGTAGAATCTCCTTTCCTCTCTGTAGCTTCCCATGTTTAGTACAACACAGTGAATTTTCAAGCTGGATGTCCATTTTTCTGGGTTTAAATTTCTTTTTTTAAAAGAAACGTAATGCTTGAAATGCAAAATCTGCAGGCTCTATCAGCTACATCTGGAAGATACTCTGTCAGTTCTCAAATACTCAGACATCAGAATATTCAAAGTCATTCCTTAGCACATTTGGATTCATTACACTTGAATGGCTTTGGCGGTTTATGGAAGCAGAGTTCCTCATTGGTGCTTTTGGCACATGGCGGAAAAAA